AAAGCAGGATGAGCGGGTTTCTGTCCTCTCCACAAACAGGATTGATGATATTCTCCAAACCAAGCTACTGAGTCCTAGGCTTGCTTCAGCCCAGCAGGGCAGGAGGACGAGCCCATTTTCCTGTCTTTCTGTGGAGTATTGCTGCACACAAAGCTGTTCAAAATTGTTTCCTCCCTCAATGTTTCTGTTCCAGCTGACAACAAAAGGACAAACCCGCTCTGAGGCCTCTTTCTTCAGCACAGGAGGTTTAGGAAGAGTTACTGCATCCCTGTCTGTCTCCTGAATACAGAGGCTCATTCCCAACTGTACCGCCTGATGTGTTTAAGCTGCAATCCAAAAAATCCACAGGACAAAGAAGGAAGGGGAATGAAATAGGCAGAAAATGCATTAAAAAGAAGTAGAGGCTAAAACTAATAGAGTTAATTGCTCTACCCAGGTTTGTGCCCGTAGGGCATGCAGAGATGAGTGTTAGTAATGAAGCTCTTCAGCAGCGCTGGGGCAAACTTTGTTATTAAGGTCAAATAATCTATCAAGATGAAAATGTTGAAAGAGTCCTTTCCACTCAGCAGCAGTACGCTGCTCAGTGTGGCTCAAATTGCTTTTCAGCAATTCAGTGCTTTTGTTGACTTAAAGTAAATTAAACGTTATCCTTTTTTAATTAGCTAGGTTAAGCGATCTCAGTAAGTGCTACTTCCTACTAATTTAAAGACTAGAACTAGTTTAAAGCAATTAAAGCTAAAACCCCCACCTTTAAATAGTGAATTAATATGAAATTTGATTTAATATGGAAGCAACTGGGGGTTAAGTGACCCAGTCAGGTGGGGATGAGAAGGAAGAGAAGCCAGCATAGAGCCAGCAGCGCAGCCACTGGGGTGGCTATTAGGGAGCGAAGTAGTTTTTTTCTTCTTGACAGGCAATTGCAACCATATAATATATTCAAACCCCTTCTTAGTTGTCTTTAATAATGATTTTTAGAAGTCAGTGTATTGGGTGTAATTGTCAAGGTGCTGGCAGTGGGGGACTGCAGGGGCGGCCCCTGTGAGGAGAGGCCGGGGCTGCGCCGTGCCGGACGCAGCTGGTTCCGGCTGGCTCCAACTGACCCCCCGCAGGGCACAGCTGAGCCCAGCAGCCAAGATGGTGGAGCCTCTGGGAAAGATTATTTAAGGACAAAAACATTGCACAGGCAGAGGAGGAGGGGAAAAGAAGTGTGCAGCAGCCATGCGAACACCAAGGTGAGCAGGAGGGTGAGGCAGCGCTCCAGGCACCAGAGCAGAGACTCCTCCGCAGCCCCAGGAGGAGCCCACACCAGAGCAGGCAGGTATTTCCCGACAGGAGCCACAGCCCGTGGAGAGCCGATGTTGGAGCAGGTTTATCCCAAACGACTGCAGCCCATGGAGAGGACCCGTGCTGGAGCAGGGGGGAACGCATGAGGAAGGAGCAGCAGAGAGGAACTGTTACGGACTGCCCACCACCCCCATTCCCCAGCACTGCTGCAGGGCAGAGGTAGAGGAGTCAGGAGTGAGGGTGTGAAGTTGAGCCTGCGAAGAAGGGTGGGGAGGGAAGGTGGTGCTTTACATTTTTTTGCCTTTGTTTCTCACTATGCAAATCTATTTTAGCTGGCAATAAATTAAAGTCAAGTCTCTTTTGCCCATGATGGTAACTGGCAAGCAGTCTCCCCATCTTTCTCTCAACCCATGAGCTTTCTATTTTCTCCCCCATCCAGTTGAGGTGGTGGAGTGAGTGAGGGGCTGGGTGGGCATCCCACCGTCAGTTATCTACAGACTGGGTCATCAGCCTTGTGGAGTCAGCAGCTCTGCTAAAAAATATAAGCAGGCTGGAATAAGAATCAACCAACTGCAAGATGCAGAAAAAAGCCACAGCCCCAGTCAACTCTCTTTCAAATGTGAACTTGCAAATTCCACATTTTTGAGAATAGGTTCTGGGACATTTTACTTCTCTACCTCCCAAACAAACGTGCGCTCTCAAACTTCCAAAGACCTTTAAGGTCTTGTCACAACAGGGCAAACAGCCCATCCCAAACCCTTGTGAGAACATCTTCTAATGAATCTCAGTAACACAGAAGCAACAAAAAAGATTTTTGTAACAGGGGGCCCTCTGCTTATGGCTGAGATGTCATTTGATTACTGTATCCTTACAAGTTTTATATATCATACCATATTGTAATACAGCAATGCACACATACTCATGCACAAGGAATTTATGAATAAAAACTATAATCCTTGATTGACCTTATTATTCTAACTTGTCTTATTTAAAGAGATGGCTTCCTAGAATAGTACATTATTTGCCATGCAGAGACTATAATAGGATAATGTTAAAGATGAGAATCCTGTGTTTCAGATTTATATTTATATTCTGTTGAATGGTACAAATGTGAGAAGTGACTGTCGCAGGAATGGTTATCATGCTAAAAAGAGTTTGAGTTGCTTATGTGAAGAGCCACTGACAGTATGACAACAAGCCCAATGTCTTGATGAGATTAAGATTTGTCATGTATTCTGTCCTCTACCTCTTCCCAACGTTTTCTCACTTGTTTTCCCCCCAACTCAATAAACTAAACTACAGCTGTTATAGGAGGCTTTTATTTTGAACAAAATCAGTGAAAATACAATTTATGCTGAAAGCCAAAGTTGAGGCAAGTCACTTTTTTTTGTGTTGTTATTTGCTAGCTGTTGTAGGTGGGATCCACTCTTGTATCTTCTTGCGAGTAGTAGAGTAAGGTACGTACTGTCCAGGAGTACCACTCAGATTGAATTTATGGTTCTCCCAGATAAATTTACGAGCAACTGGTGGATGAGTAGTTGGAGGGTCATCCGTCATTGAGTGAAGCCAGCGATGCCTTAAGAGGAAAAAGACACACTGTTATTAGAGAACATTACATGATCTGTAACAAGCCTTCCTCCTGACTCCCAAGGGTTCTCCTCTGAAGAGACACTAAGTACTTATTTTGAGAGCGGGGAAAAATAATTTTAATCCAGTATGATTTCGAATGAGACTACAGGACACTGATTTAAAGTCATTACACAAACATAACTGATAAATAACAGTTCTGCTTCCAAGCAACTGAAAGCACACCTGAGTTTGAATTTCCTGTTCCTTTGAACGCTTAGTACTGGGGCAGAGAATATTTCATTGTAATGTGTTTGTATGGCCTTAACCAGCCAGCCAGGCCAAGGCAGGCACTACAATTGACAAAACCACAAGGTTTTGGTTTGTTGTCTGGGTTTTTTTTGTTGGGTTTTGGGTTTTGTTTTGTTTGTTTTTTAATTGCCAGAAGACTACGCTGCACAACAATTTCAATACCATCTGCAAAGCATTCATGAGGCTACCACTTGGGATATGGATTAATGATGCAGGTTCACCTAAAACAATCACATAAACGTTTACTGAATGCACAATAAAATTATTAATACCAATCTGTAATGGGGTAATTACCAAGTGATTATAGTGATTATCCTTTACCTATGAACTAAATGTCAATCCTCCCCTGTGCAAACAACATTAAAGATCAAGCAAAGTATCATCCATAACGATTTACTGAATGTACTGAAACACTACAGCAGGGATCAACTGAATTGATTTCATCCCATTTCTATTTCAGTGCCCAAAGCAACTTTCAAACCTGAATAATGTTTTAATTATCTGCCAATTTACATGTGCTTCATACTGTATGCACAGTTACAACAGAAGTGAGGTTATGACTTTTTTTGCAAGCTTATGTATTTTTTACTGAGGTAGAATTAAAGAGGCTTCTGCTAATCAGCTTTTGCCAAAGACTTGACCTAAAAATACGAAGTCTTCTATTCCAGTTGTTATTAGAAAGCCTAAAAATTGCATCTTCAGCTTTTAGCAACTAAGCCGGCATGCTTCAGTGATAGAGCAAAACAAAACCACAATACAAGTAGTGAGAAATAGACTGACAAGTATATTCTAAATCTGAAGAGCTCTACAGAAGGTTGATTATCTTTTCAGTCAAATAGCTTCTAGACATTTATTTCAGAAAAACTCACAACTTTGCATATAACTTTAGTACAAAATCTCACTTCAAAAAAAATGTCAGCCACATGTTCATTTTCTATAAGTAAAAAACAAACAAAAACCCCAAATGAAAGCCACACGTTGTAGGACTACAGACTGCCAGGAAACTGGCTTGAATACAAAACTGCACGGAACCGTAAGATCCTTTAAAAGTAAGAAGAAAAACCTTGTTTAGAGGTAAAGAATGGCCTCCTATGGGAAAAATCATCCACTTAGGAGTTTGAAAGTTATACGCACGTTCAGATGAAGTGACCCAATGCAACAGGAATGGGAAGGGGATCCCTCTCTTCCTTCCCCCACTCTCCTTTGTAAATCTGGTAGCATTTGAAGTACACATTTCCCACTACTTCTATTAAAAAAGAAGATTTTGGGTAATGATTTCTGTCTGGAAGAAGGCGGCCCCATAGCACTACTAATCACGATGTGGTCTGAGGATACAGGATCAAGCCTTGCTCAACTTTAAACCTGATATTACCAGCCTCTGAAATGCCCTGGCCACATCACACAAAGCTCTGACCTTAGGTGAACTCCCTCTCCCAATTCACACCGGTTAGAAGAATTTTGTGCACTAGTGTGCTTTACACCACCTGAGATATCACGTCCTATGACGGCTAGCATCAAAGTTGGCAGAAACGCTGTAAAACAGCTAACTTGACTGAGGTGGGATCGTATGCTCATATCCAACAAGCCGGCTCTCCATTGCAAACACAAAGAAACACACAGTTTGTGGCATGGGAGGAAGGGGAAAAGAACAGTCCATGTATCCATATACATTCTGCCAATACTGACTTAAGTACTGCATTTCAAAATGCTTCATAGTATCACTCCAGAGGAGCCTCAGCTTTTCAAAACTGCTTACCATAACATATAGAGGCAACTTAAACTCACACACCTTCACCTGGCGACGCTTCTGATAATAGTGGACAGGGATCCCGCAAACAAAACCCTATTTATGCACCTGTTGCCATGCCTCACCGTCCTCACGCTCCCCTGAGGGTTGTGCACACCAACAGGACAAACAGAAAATTGTCTTCTTGGGCAGAAATGCAGTTACAAAGGCCCTGAAAGACAGGCTGGAGCAGGTGGAGCACAAGAACTGTATTAAAGCTCAGTTAAAATCAACTAGATTTCAAGCTTGCATGATGCCTGGCACCTCTTTTGTTATGAGTGTACTTACATCATACACTCACTCCTTGAAACGTCAGAAAACTCATCACAATATTGACTTAATTACTCATTTAACTCGGGAGACAGAAAACAGAATAGTTTTATTCTGTCATTTAAACTACTCTTTTGCAGCTTTTCTAAGACTAAATCCATGAAGTCTTTTAAAATACAGTATTTTGGAGTAATTAAAGCATTTCTATATTGGCTTTCTGGATTTTCTGAAATTAAAAAATATCAGTACAAAATTGGGCTCAAATTTAAATAGATCAGCAAAAACACTCCTTAAACTCCCTTTTCTCACTGGAAAGTAGAAAAATAATTGCTCACCTACAAGACAATTCAGTACAGTCACAGGTACTGAAATGCCTGAAGAGATTTCACAAGTTTGTTTAGAACTCCATCCATTATTAAGTATGCTTATATTTAAGAGTTTCAGGGCTTAAGCCTGGTCACAACAGATTCCCCTCAGAAGCCTAACGGGTGACCTATAAAAGCATTTTGATTTGCAAAGAGTCTGTTCTCTCAAACAAAAGCTCCCACTCTCCACTTATGCAAAATATGTAAAAACTGAAAACTTTATTTTGGGAAGACTTTCCCCTTGACAGCCTCCCTCAAAGAGCCCTTTGAAGCCCTGACGTCTCATAGACTCTACTCCCAGATGCTCAAGAAAAGCTTTTCCTGCACTGGATTGAACAGCATGAATAATGAGATTGGACATCTTGCAGATGGCCGGATTTCTATACAAACTCTGCCTATAAATCCAGGCATGGAAAAACAGGATTCAAAAGCAATTAATGTCTTAAAACCTACAAAGAAGCAGACAACTTGCACAGAGCAATGGAAACCAGGAGGACAGCAGAAGCTCTGAAGAGGCTGAAGCAGCTTCCTAAATCACAGAGCAGAGTCACTACCAAGCAGACTGGGGCTAGCAAAGCCTCTGGACTTCTCCTTGGGTAAACAGATGAAAGACACCTCAAAGTATCTTCAGCTGCCCTCAAGACTATGTAGAATTTTCTCCCAAGTCAGACAAATATTTAAAAGCAAGGAGATTTCAAACTGAAGCTACAAGGGACCAGAGCCAATTATATGATGTACAAGCTGTCAAACAAGAACCGATGCTACACAAACTCCGTAGCTACTACCATATGTGCATCTGCAAGGTTCAGGCACCTTCTACGTAAGTTCAGGACGTTTGCCAACTTGCTAGCATCCAGTTTTTTCAACAAGTTAACTGTGTTGCAATAAGACAAAAGAGAAGTGAAGATGTGTGTTATGGTCAAAGGGCAAAAAGTATTTCAGTGCTTTCCCTGGTACTTTAAGTGAAGGAAAAATCAGGTATTTAACTTTGACTAGCATAAAAAGTAGCTTTTTTTATTTTAAAGATATTCTTCACTTATTATTCCAGGTCTATGTATGGGAAGAGAAGGGAAAAGGGACAAGAAACATGTTTTTATTTGTGTACAAATGGGACATAACTTCGATTTCTCATGCAAGCTACTATGAGATACCATTGTATAGTAATGAGACAGCATCCCATTTACCTGAAAACACCACATCAGCATTTATTCTAGTTATAAAAATCTCAAATTTATTGTGAAGCTACTGAAAGGACGGAAATTTTACTCCCCCATTCCTTTTCAGTTCAATGTTTGTTTTGTTTTCCCTCGCAGGCAGACCTGAAAAGCAGCAGTTTTACAGGAGAATAGCACATTTCTTTACATTGCTTCAGACCCAAGGAAGAGTCAGCTACATCCACATCACTCCCAGCAGACAACTGCTTAAATTGTTACAGAATTGCTGTAATACTGGCTTGCTCATCTTCCCAAACCAAGTTATACCAGTGAAGATGAGTAGAAATTTTTAGTGGTAAGGATAGGAATGTCTAATCTTCATCACTTCTTCTCTAATTTAAACCTACTGCTTCCTATTCCACGCATCTATCTGTGAAAGACGGACTATGCCTTTTTCTTCCTCAAGAGATTAAATGCTTCAAGATTATACCCATGGTCATCTCCTCTCCTTTTTAAGCAACCCCAAATCTTTCCAACTGTCTTCAGAGGTCTGATTGTTCCTGCTGCTTTTCCCTAGGCTTCTTCCACTGGTCAAGCGCTATACCCTATATAAGTCTTCCTGGTAATAAGCAGAAAAGAAGAGTCACTTTGCATGAGTGCAGGCAGTAATTCTTTCTACTTCTCAGGAAGGCACACTTCTTTCCCAGTGGTATAATGTGGACTTACTCAACCTGCCATCACCATAAAACCCACATCATCCTGCAGCACTGCTAGTTGCTCTCCTCCTGCACACCGTAAAGTAAGAGGCTGCTGGTGCCAGAAAAGCAGGGTCCTGCCCTCCGTCTCTACACCCAGCCATATGATTTCACTCCTTTTCCTCTTGTGACCACGAAGTGAGACAATGCAACTTGCCATGTTGCCAAACTTAAAGAGTGCAGATAATCTGCAGCTGGTAATAACGTTCATGAAAAAAGCAGCACTGAGCTCTTTGATTCATCTAGCTATATCTTACACCCCTAATATTTCACTTCTCTGTGCAGCCTTTTATTAAGGGGGAAAAAAGCTAACACTGCTTTAAGCACACTTCCTTACTAACAAACCTGCCCAGAACATTTCACCTAGGCTTCAGCTTGCCTGTGATCCAAGACTGCTTCTACCAGGGCAGGTGGGAGGGTGGATGGAGAGAACTATAACCCCTATGGCCCTTGCCCTAGGAAGAGAGCAAACTGCATTATTATCAAGAAGTACACATTCAAGATAGCTAGTTTTTAACTATGAAAATTCTTTGCCTGTGAAAATACTTTTGGTACCCTAACTAGTACTCAAAAGCTGTTCAGGGATTCCCAAGGAGTCGCAGGTTCTTCTTAATCTTAACGCTAAGATTTTCTTCCCTGAAACCGTTCAAAAGCTTTTCTACAGAGACAAAAGGATAAAATATTAAACCTGAAAGTCATTTATCCATATCATCTTCCTGCTTGGTTTTTGATTATTTCTGAGAAAACAGAAAAAAGTTTTGCTCGACAAGTTTTCACCTGTACACAAGTTGTGACTACACCTCAATGTGAGCACATGCATGAAGCAGCATATGCCAGTTGTATAAAATGGTCCCACCTGGGACTCCTGGGGGTGATTTGCTAACTGTAGTATTTTCAGGTTGGGAGATAAATGAATGAGGAACAAAAGGCAATACTGGGCCTTCTAACGTAACAGTAGAATGGAAATAAGCTCACCACACAGCCCAATGACTAGAGCAATTTGGTAGTAGAGACATCTATGAAAGCACTAATTAGAGTGCATACAGGCATTGGTATAAACAGATTTAACTTTTATTGTTTGTATGTTCACAGAGCACACCCGATCAGTGTTCACAAACGGAAGTACCAAGTTCCTGCAAACAACATGCTCTGAACAGTAGGAAATGAAACAAGTATTCTGGTATTGCCCAATATCTTGTATAGCATTACAAGAAGATTAACACTAATCATTCCCAATGCAAGTATTGAGGGAATTTAAAAAAAAAAAAAAATCTAATTAACTTGTCTCCAACAAAGTAGATACCAACAACTTCTTATCGAAAAGAAAGCCCAGAGTGACAAAGAGGTTAAATAATACAACTAAATCAGAATAAACCACAAGCCTACATATTCTGGTATGGCAATGTTTTAAAAAAGCAACAGTCTCAATTCCCTGTATAGCAGACATATGTCAAAACAACTCTTTTCATTTCCTTCAGACTGTGATTTCAGTACATCTATTGTCAAAAGACATTACATCAATTATTTCAGAATACTGAAAATATTCAGTAGTTCCTAAAACGGTATTACAATATGTTACTACATATGAGATGTTTTTTCTTGCTGCTTTTTCCTTTTCTCCAGTATCTGACAGGAGGTAAAGGGTAGCTAAATGAATTCTCATTTTATTTTTTCCAGACAGTTCTTTTCAGAACTTTTCAATATACCAAAATGCTTTTTTCCAATTCATCATGCATGATGAGGTCCACCTGATTGTATTTCAACAATCCAAGCATTCATATTCCACAGTCCTGAAGGCAAATGACTGACCACAAAATTATACTTTAAGATGCACAGTATATTCAACAACCAGAAACATGGAGAAAACACAAACCAGAAACCTGTAGTATGACTTATACTGAAAAAAAAGAAAGGAAGAAAGTGCTTTTCCTGCACATCTGCTAGTGTTCTCTATACTTCCCAAGAAAATAGTGTAATCGGTACGATAATCAGTAGTGTAATCCTACATACAGTAGGATTTTTAAAAGAGTACTACAAAATCATTACAAACTAGTTAGCATTACTATTTAAAAAAGGAAAATCTGAAATCTCTAGGTTAGCCCTGGTCTTAAACCTCGATTTTGTTAAAACTGTCATCTTTAGGCATGACAGTTGCAAAATATTTTCTGAAAGTAACACCAGCATAAACAGTGCAGTAAAACCTGCTTCCACCTGCAGAGGGTGCAACAACATACCCACAAAATGCTCTACTGAGCTGAATTAACTAAAACCCCCAGTCAAAAATCAGTGTTTAGAAGAAGTATTCAGATCACAACCCAGCTGTTACAATAGTACTTTATATACTTCCCAGTTGACCCAAGGACAGCAAACCTGTCTCACCTTTCCATCTGTTGAAGGGAAGGCTAGTGCTTTAAGAAATAAACATTTTTTACAACTGACAGGACAGATACTACTATACTATGGACCAAATTAATCTCTTTGTTCACAGAAGTAATTTCACACAATCTAATTTATTTCCAACAAATTTCTGGGTCCAAAAAAACCACTCATTTCCTGCGTAGTTGCACAACCCCAGTGTTACACTGACAGCAATTTGTACAATATATTAACAGTCTCAATTCAGAAGTCTATGCCATGTTAAAAATTTAAGACAGTATACCAATCAGATGAAAAAAATAAAATACAGTCTTACAAGACATTTATTCCCAGTCAAAATATTTCTATTTTTAAAGATGTATCTAAACAGTACTGAATTACAGGTCAGTGATGTAGATGTGTCATGAAGCTAGGATTCCTACATAAGAATAAACATCTAAGGTTGCCATGGGACATACAAATTTATCAGCAATTAAAAAAAAAAAGAAAAAACTGAACAGTACTGCACAACTAAGTTTCCTGACAAAAATACCTTAGACCACGGGACTGTTTACCCTTTCGTGCCCCATTGCACTGACCAGTCTTGAAAATAATGAAACGTTGATAGGAAAACAAGTTTTTCTACCTCACTAATTTATGGGATCTAAACAAGCTACTTAATCCTAGAAACATCCCTTTGATACTCAGGAAGAAACCCTTTATCGAGGTTTGTAAGGACACAATAAACAACACATAAGCACAAGCAAAGAAAAACAACAACAAAACCCGTGCCTCAAAATAAGGAAAATCTTGAAAACCAGCATATTCTAATAGTGAAAGGATAAAAACTAGAACCAAACAACAGTTATTATGCAGATAACAAGGAACATGAACATGCTAGTTTCGGAGATTCTCATGTCACTTCTAAAAAACAATGCCATTAAGCTCTTACTGGAGAAGACGTAAAAAAGCATTAACTACATCAAACATAATTTTAAGGCTGAGAGAAGTTGAAACAAAATTGACTACCTAGACAGTCTACCCACGCATTTCTCAAATGTTCTAATGAGAGCCACAATTTAGGAGTTTGGATAATCAATCTCAGCCTCGGCACAGAACTTCTATCACAGGAATAATAAAAACCAGTGTTCACCAATGCTCAGTCTACCCCAGCACCTCTTACTTCATATCACCTTTCATTGCTTTGTGGCTGAAGTGCTATTCATATTCCTCAAGAATGAAGTAGAGATTGCTTTTGCTAGCATACACTGTTACTTTATTTGGTGTGTGTTTTTCCTGAGTCCTTTAGGAAGACAAAAAGAGTATTAACAGCTGTGTGGCCAGAGACCTTCTGGAACTCAAGGTTGTATAGAATTATTACTGAAATGCATGGACAGAAAGTAAAACCTTAAGAAAAATTATAGTCAAGGAGCAGTCAACACACAGAGCATCCTGGTCCTTTGCTGTTCATCATCTTGTAGAATATCAATGTATATCAATTGAAACAATTGTGCTGTTAATGGCTGTGGATTAAGGAATGTTGTTCCATCATTGCCTTACGTTCTTCAGGTTCTTGTCTAGAATGGATAATAAAAATATTTTTTCTACCTCTGGCTGCTCAATGCTATTGTAGGCTTTGCTAAACCATTACGATGAAATCACAACTAATAAGGAAAATTGGAAGACTGGCTTGACCTGCTCAATCTGGCTGGCAAAATGCTTTTCTCATTCCAAGAAGCAGTGACTGTGACTGTCAGGACAGTGAGCAATAGAACATATAACATTATGAATGCAGTTCAAAATTAAAAGTAACCAGTCTGAAATCTTCTGGTCATATATAAGACAGCTGCATCCAAGAAAACTTTATTACCATAAAATTGTTTGGTTTTTTTTTAATCTTCTGCTTTGTAATATAAGAAAATATACAGGCAATTACACAATTGGTACCTGTCCACATTATTAAGCTAAATGGTTTACCATTCAGGGGGCACCATACTTCCATCAACTTCCCAAAACGTATTTTTGCCATTCATTTCATTAGTATAGATGACCCATCTGTGTCGACCTTAAGTAAACAAACAGAAATATTGTATTAGCTCAAAAAAATAAATTATTTTCATATAAAGGAGAGAATTCATGAAGACACAAGGAAAAGAATTTTGACTAAAAGTATCTACCATTATGGGCACTTACTTCAAAGTCAGTACAGCTTTTATTTTCTAAGTCTTCTGTATTTCCACCATTTTTTATTATTTTTTATATATATATATAAAAAATATATATTTTTATATGGCTGAATCTAACGCTCTCACAAGGAAGCAAGTTTTAGCTATTGTATAAGTAACGGGGAATAGGAACTTAGAAAATTTTCAGGCAGAGAAACAGGTTTGGGGATTTTTTTCCCTCGTTAGGAGGAGTCTTTTCCAGAAGGACATTGCCAATAGCAACCTAAGATTAAACTAAGTTTCAGCCATATAAAACTACCAAGCAACGTTTACCAGCAACTGCTTTCCCCAGGTACCCTACAAGTTAACCTACAGTAGGCAGAGCTTGGCCTAACCAGCATATTAATTGCTCACGTGTCACCTTCATTGTTTTAGGTACTACCTTTTTAAGTACTCTACAAACATTATTTAAAATTCCATTACTTAAGGTAACAGGAATTTTAAGCTAACCTGTGTTTCTTTGTCCCAAAGTGATCATATAAGTACAGCTGTGAGGCAGTTTTAAAGGCAGTTCTCTTTCTTCCCCCACCTGTTAAGCTATCAGCTTTTAGGTCAAGGACCAAATTCAGCTCTCAATCACATCATCATATAGGCATACCTACATGGAGAGCAGCTGACTGGCTTATATTTATCGATATTTATTATTTCAGATTGACCATTTTGCAAACGAATTGAGGGAAGCAGTAGAGAGACAGAAGATGTCAAAGCATTTCTATGAGCCCCCCCTCTCTAAGACTCACACAAGTCAAGTGCGAGGAAGTCTGGCAGGCAACAAGTTCTATTTCACTAGCAGAAACTACACAAGCTATACAAAGTTGGACAGTCAGCTGGGAGGTGTTCACGTTAGCACACATACCAAAGAAGTTTCTTTTGTCTTCATAGTATTTGTTTCCATATTTGTCAATTCCTATCAGCGTACCAGTCTTCAAATCATTGACCCTGTGAATTCCCAAAACAACAGTTTCAACTGACATCATCTTAGAATGAAGTTGTGATAGAGGTTTCTTAGGGGTTGGTAAAAATCTGTAATGAAAACTCTTAAACACACATATATGTAAAGCTATTCAAAAAACTGTTCAAGCTTAAGGACTGCAAACCATAACCACCAATTCCTGCAACTAATGTCAGCGTGCCTTTACTGTGTGCCCCACTGACAGGATAATAAAAGTCATACAAAAAGGCTTTGGGGGGCTATTATTTATTTAAAAGCTCTTTATAGTGGAAGATAAAGCAACTCTGCAATATAGCACAATTTGACACCCACAAAACTTTAAATACTGTGGAAGGGAGTCCCTGAGACACATCTTAATTCACTTAGTTAAAGATGTTACCATCCTTCTCAACTATTTGTTACTACCATTTCAGCTTGAATTGCCAGGGACAGTGGTCAGCACTGAAGCAGCTTAAGAGATCTCACATGTCTGTGTGGGCACTAACCTCCAGGAGTGGAACAGTAATATTTTGAACCATTGTACCTGCTTGCCAAGGAAATGCATGCTAAACCCTAAATTGCAATTGTTACTTTCTAGCTTTTGTGTAACTGTGAAAGATGCAAGCATTTACCCTGCCACTCTGGGAGACTTACACTGACCCAGGTAAGGTATATACCAGTTTCAACTCTTTATACAGAACATATTTTAACAGTGCTGTACATATCAATAATTAAACTGAACCTGTGATTTACATTCTATTGACAAAACCTTAAAATTACTGAAGTGCTCTTTGCCCCCTAGATCTGCACCTTTGCTTTCCTTTTTACTGACATTTATCCCAGGCAGAATTACATAAGGAAAAGTTTACTCTCAAAGGTTTTAGTTGTTTGTAGTATTATACACACTCTCAACTCAGTCCCAAGTGACAGAAGGGATGTGCAAATGCACGCTTCCTTAGTTGGGAGTTTAACTATATAACCCACAGATAAAGGGTTTTTTTGTTGTCTTTTCTCCCAGGGTGCACGAAAGCGATAATCACTCCACCAAGTACTCATTTTAAACCTCTGTGGTCCCAGGCAGAAAGATTCTCTGACACAGCTCTCCTCTGTCAAAGAAACACTCAAAGATCTCTGGCTCAGCTATCCAATCCTGAGCTCCCAGCTTCAGAAAAGAAGAGCCATTTCACTGCTGCTCTCCCTTCCTTCGTCCCCTCCCGTTCTTGTAAGGGTTCTTATGCCCTTGTCCTGACTACATGCCCTGAATACTGGTATCAAACACTAAGAGGTATTTATGGCTTCCAGAAGACATTTTCCAGCCAATTTCGCTGAGTTTTGAGTAAGGAGAATGTTTCCAGGCACAGGCTTTTAATAATTTGACTTCTACTGCATAAAACATGTTCCAGCTGCCTTAGTGGGAAACATATAGAGAAAAGCAGGGAAATTCAGAATAAAACCCTTGCAGAGAAAGAGTCTCCTGACTTGGGTAAATCGTTTTTCGAAGTTACCCGTAATTACTTCTCAAACACATCAATTGTTGCAAGAAAGATACACCTTGATTACTCCTCCTGTAAGCGCCAAGTCTGTTCCTTGAGCTGGAACAGAAGATTCAATGGCTTGAAAGGTGAAGGGGAGGCAGCAGCTATGTTTGTGGTTGGTACAGTTATGAGGATCAGGTGTGATTCTCCACCTAGCACACCTCTCTTCTAACTTCAGTCTTCTGAAAGAAAAAAAAGAGCACTGCCTCCAGTCTTGCCTGCTCCCTTTTTCTGCGTGGTAGAAAGGTGTCCACACAGCCTGTGATCTTTGACTCACAAAAGCTCCCTGACAAGACATTCATTAAGATGTGCTTAGGAAGAGGCACTCTGGTGAAACCTAATACTCAAACTCTTCTACACTTTTATTTCCCCAGCTCCATTTCTTCTTGAGAACTGCCAGCATAATAGCTACAGCCTGAGAAGGGAAACAAAGTGGAGAAGACAACTTGAGGGGGATGACAGAAAATAATAGTAAAATACTAGCCAGGGAAATCATATATTGTCTTGACTTATACTGCTTAACAGCTTGAAATTTCCCTCTAAAAAGTTGTGCAAGAGGAAGGTCTATCTGACCTGCTTTCTACAGTGGAAACAGAAAAGCCAGAAGCCGCCTGTCACCACAGCTAGTAGGAATACAAAGTTGAGACCTCCCAAAAGTCGAGCTGACTTCAGAAAAGCATACAATATTGTGCCACAAAACAAATGAGAAAATAATTTAAAATGTATAATAATTGTAAAATGAGCAATACATTTGACTGACAGGAAGAAGACAACATGCTCAGCGGAAAGAAATACAGAGCTCACTAGTGACATTCCACAAAGAATGTTGAAGTTCTGTACTGTTTTCAGGGCTGGAGTGATACCACCAGAATGAAATTCAATGGTATGAAGGTCATAGCACATAGAGTTAATTTCCTTCCTAGTAGCTGGTACAGTGCTGTGTTTTGGATTTAGGAGGAGAACAATGTTGATAACACACCGATGTTTTAGTTGTTGCTGAGTAGTGCTTACACTAGTCAAGGACTTTTCAGCTTCTCATGCCCTGCCAGCAAGAAGCTGGGAGGGGGCACAGCCAGGACAGCTGACCCAAATTGGCCAAAGGGATATTCCATACCATATGACATCATGCTCAGTATATAAACTGGGGGGAGTTAGCCAGGGGGTGGGGACCGCTGCTCGGGAACTGGCTGGGCATCAGTCAGCAGGTGGTGACCAATTGCATTGTGCATCACTTATTTCATATATTCTTTTATCATTATTATTTTTGCCTTCCTTTTCTGTCCTATTAAACTGTCTTCACCTCAATCCATGAATTTTACTTTTTTTTTTTTTCCTCTCCCCCATTCCACTGGAGGGGGGGAGTGAGCGAACGGCTGTGTGGTGTTTAGCTGCCTGCCGGGTTAAACCACAACACACAAGGTGATCCACCTGGAGACTAATAAGATCTGAAGCACTGCCTGTGTAATCACAAGGAAAACATCTAGATGTCACAAGGCAATAATGAGCTGCCAATTAAGTGACACATGGGGAAAAAAAGACAAGCTGATCCTAGGATGTACCAGGTGAACTGAGCTGTCTTCAGTGAATAAAGCAAGCTCTCAAGCCACTGTATGAAAACACTGATGAGGCCTGATCAGCAACTGTGTAAAATGTTACGTTTAACTGTTCAAAACAGATCAATTTAAACTACAAGAAATAACAGAAAAAGGGCTATTATGATGACTGGAAAAAAAAGTCTTCAAGAAGGCTCAGAAAGCTCGGCTTGTTTATTCTAGTGTAAGAAAGCCCTTGACATATAGCAGGGAACTTTACCTTTGTGAATCCTCCCTATCCCATACTCCCGACTTCCCGCTATTGATTAAAAAAAGGCTTTTTGGCTACGAGATCAGGCCTACAACATTCACTGCACCCTGAAGAAATGTTCTATTACTTTTCCAAGACCAGCTACAAAGATAACACAGGTTACTGACACTGCCGAATTTGGATCATGTACAATTCAGACTTCCATCCTACCTTTCATTAAGGATCTGAATGAAAAAGAGTACCTTAGTAAGCCTGCAGCTCCTCCTATTTGGGAGGAGCTTCAAGCACGCTGTATCACAATTCAAAATACTTTTCACAAGGTAGAAATGAGATGTGAATGGGGAAAAAAAACAGGAGAAAGTTTAATGTGGACGAGTGCAAGGTTCTGTGCTTGGAGAACAAAGTACACAGACACGACTGGAAACACAGGCTGCGACTAGTTCTGCAGAAAATGTCACTGGGGCTAGAGGGCATCCAAAGCTGAGCACAGGTCAACGGTGACAACCCGTTGCCAAAGAGGCTGACGTACGGTTTGAAGTGTTAAACAATTACAGCCGGTAAGGCAGATGAATTAATTCTCAGCTTTACACCACAGGATTTCAGCAGAAGCATGGCTCTCAGATTTGCACACCAGACAGTTCAAGAAAGCCGTCACCAGCCTGAGGTGATCCAGAGCAAACAGCCGGCGGGCCAGCACGATGGTGGTCCACAGAAGCACAGGAGGTGGCTGCAGCAGAGCGGAGCATCACCACGGCGGACACGGCTGTGGCAACAGGACTAAGAAGGACTGAGGCTGGATACCGGGAAAACCTGCCTGGGCAATACTGACAGCTCAGCATCGAGAAACCCACTAAAATACCTAAAGAAGAGAAAACAACCGCCGGAGCCTGCCTGGGGAACGCTCTGACCACAGCATCCGCTGCCGACTGGGACTCAGGGGGGGGAGCCGTACCGCCCCAGCACATCGCCCCTCGGGGCAGCGCACGGAGGCCTGCACGGAGCGGCCTCCTCCTGAGGCCTGGCCCGGCACCGCACACC